CTGTTGTGTGCTGGAGGTATCTCTCTGGGATGGTCCATCTCTGGACATTTGTTGAGGTGGGATGTCCCGCTGCTGAATGTTGGTGATATCTCTCTTGGATGGTCCACCTGCTGTATGCTGGCATTCTTGGACTTTCTTATAACAGGCTTTGACCACCTTGAAGACCAGGACTGTAAATTCTTCAAAACCTACTTTGCCGTCACAGTCGGTGTCTAACAGATGGAGCACCGTCTCTATTGTCTTGGGATCATGTGGATCCTGCAAAGAAGAAATCCCCAAAAGATTATAAGAAAATCCATTTGTTTCATCTCAACTGCTGCTGTTCATAATGTACACTGAAGATGGTATTTAATTTCGTTGTACGAGGTGCAATGACACTAAACTCAACTCAACTCAACTCAAGTCAACTCTTCTCAATTATGCCCTGATACCCAGAAATGCCTTCGCTCCCAGACTCATTTCTGATGCATATCTAATGGGATTTTTGAGCCCTTCTCATAATGCCATAAATAAACGAGGAAACAGGCTGAAGAATAAAACCAATTTATAGAAAGGGTCCAAAAGTGATATTCTAGGAAACAAAACACGGTCTGCTGCTCTTTCTACTCTCCTGTGTTCAACTACTAAGTTCTTTGGAGGACAGCACTTGTAACTAGTGCAAACCCGAGAAAGTTTCTTAAAAAAATAATTGTGTCAGTTTCAGATAATAGGTAGAAAGACTGATTTATAGATTCTGTGCATCTGAGCTGAGAACACTCAAAATTGAAGGACCTTTTAGGATGCAAATTTCCTCTTTGGTTGGGTTGACTTGCTTCCACAGGCCATAACATGGTGGTTTGGTTTAGAACTCAGTTGTGGTTCTCCAACATGTTTGGAGGCACCAAATGCCAACAACCCACAATTGCATCTAACCATGGCTTGGCACGACCCACAGCCCAGATTTTGTCCCTTCCTACTCTATGCTTCCAATTCTCTACCGTTCTTGTCCATCTTGGTCTCCTCCTTCCTTCTGGCCCAAGTTCTCAGCACTCACCACAATGACGTCAGCGAACTCCGTCTGGATCAGCTGTTTCAGCTCTCCTTTGCTCAAGGTACCACAGTCCCCATCATCCTTGGCATACTTCTCGAAAATGCAGATGATGCTGCGAATGTTGCGCAGAAGGTGAGACATCTCTTCACACATTTTAAGGGTGCTGGAATGAAAGAACAGAGAGAGGACAAGGTTGAATCGAGATGATGGTCTACTAGATAGGATTCTCCAGGTACATCTAAGTATACAAAGCTGGTACTTTTTCAAGGAACAGTGGCTGGAGCAAATATCCTAGTTCCTATGGACTCCAAGAAACCCCAAGATTGAACTTGGAACAGAGGAAGCTGCAGTTAGTGTCTGTCTACCTTCTTCTAAAGCAATGTGAATTTTGTCTCAGCCCTGGTCCTTCATCCACTGCTCCATTCCTTCTTTCCTCAGATTTATGAACAACCTCTATGCGTCCCACATCCCACCCCATTTCCCCAGGTCCTTATCTAAGGGGCATCAAGTAATTTTCTCATCTTCTTCCTCCAGTTCTCCTTCTCTTTCATCTCATTTTCCATCTCCTTCTCCATCCCCTTCATCCCCTTCTCTTTTTTCTCCATCATCCTCTATTCCTTCATCACCTCCAACCCCCCTTCTTCATCCCCTTCCTTTCTCCTTCATCCCTCTCTCCATCTCCTTCGCCTTCAACCTCTTCTCCTTCTCTACCTCCTTCATCCATCTCTTCTTAATTCCCTTCTTCATCTCCTCCTTCATCCACCTTTTCTTTTTCCGTCACCATCATCCTCCATCTCCTTTCTCCCCCTTTTCTTCTACATCTCCTTCCTTTCCTCCTTCATCCCCTTGTGCTCCTTCTCCTTCATCTCCTTCCTCATTTCCTTCATCCTCTTCTACCTCCTTTTCATCATCCTTTTCCTTCGTCATCCCCTTCTCCTTCATCGCCTCCTCTTCCTCCCTACAATACTCAGGGCTTCCATCTCCCCAAAAGGTCCGCGATTTCGCCTTTTCTCCTTCCATCCATCCATCCACCCATCCTTGACCCATCTCGCCCTCCTGCTCCACTCACCTCTTCGCCAAGTTCCAGCCTTGCAGAGCAATTGCACGGTTCGGTTGGAGAGCCAGCTGGCAACCAATACCCTTTTTATACCAAGCTCTCTTAATCACGGTGACAGGCACCTCCCCCTTCCACGTTGCCCCTCTGATTCAGCCCCCAGCTATGCCCAACGTGGCGCCTTCACTCACCAACCCCCGGCTTGTCCAAACCCCCAACCTCAACCTCTCACTTGGCCTTCCACACCCCACCCGCCCAAGGTGAAAAAGACACTTCCGACACTCCTGTCTTTTTTAACGGGGCATCACACCTCACCAAGCCGGTTGCGCAAGGGCGAGACTGATATAACCAGCATTTTTTAAAAAAACACAACAGTTTGTGTTTCAAAGTTGTCCTGTTTGATATTTTTCTTTCCCCGTAGCTGCTAAAAAAACCCATTAATGAGAGAGAGAGAGAGAGAGAGAGAGAGAACATTTTACGCACCCTTCTGTCCCTTTTGTTTTCATTGACCCGCACGTGGTTTTTTTTTCTAGCACTGTTCGTCACCCTGTGACGCATGCACGTGGCCAAATCATCCAACACCTTTTTCTTTGCAGAATCAGTGCTCTAAGGTAGACTGCATCCACACCAGGAGGCTCTATTCTTTTTTCTCCGGCCTTAGAAAATGAGGAGCCAGGCTGAGCCAAGTCCCAAATCCATTCCAAAGATGTCTAGGGCTAATATTTTGTTAATAATAATAATAATAATAATAATAATAATAATAATAATAATAATA